GTCTAAATTATATTTGTCACTTACATGCCTTGCTTGCTAAATAAGACCTGATCGAAAACTGTCGGAGGAAAGTCTACATAAACATCATAGAACAGCGAATATTGCTCTTGGGTTACCATTCTCAAGCTTACTTTTCATTGCTTATGTTCATTTTTGTTATCAGACATAGTGTGCCTAAGAACGCGCTTATTACAGGTTATTTATGTATTTTTGAATATTAAGGTAAATTGTGTTTAGTGAAACAGCTGAAATCAGCTTTTTAAAATAATCAGCATAGCTTGTTCCATGCAGGCATTCAGAATATGACTGTTTTCATTTTTATTTTCTCAATAAAATAATTTGTGAAAAACAATGTGTGTCTTGAAACTGCCCACTGCCTTTCAAATTTAGGATTTGAAATTGTTTGTTGTGTATTTTTTTTTTGCCAGTTCGATGTATTTTGATGAAGATGGTGATTTGGCACATGAATTTTATGAAGAAGTACGACCCAGCAAGAGAGGAAAGAAATCCTATATGAAGAAAGTAACACGACGTCTACTCCCCCAGGGATTGGTAGAGTTACCCTTTCCAAGACTCCATGTGGACTTTCCGGTTGTCATGTGTGAAGCATATTGAAACATTATTATTATTATTATTGTTATACCGTCAAGACATTGAAATACACATGTAACCACAAACCAACCATTTTGGATTTAATCAGATCTTTCCAATTTGTGTGGTGGTATCTTTCAGTGGTGATTCAATATGGCATCTGATAAGTAAAATGTGTCCCACAAAATGTTGTCACTTAAGCAAGCAAGATGCAGGTGCTACTGGTTGAGCTTGAAATCACTGGGAGGATCTATATTGCGTGTGTATTGAGACGATAAGAACAAAATAATGCTTCCTTTCTTTTTTGAATAAATAGTCAGAAAAATGGCTCTTGATAGTGCAGTCATTCTCCTGTAAGTAGTAGTAGTAGTATAGTAGTAATAATAACAATAATAATAATAACAATAATAATAATAGTAATAATAATAATTTCTTTATGGGAGTAACACTTAATATCTCTCAATAATCTGCACGTAACCCTCAGAGAAAATGAAAATAAATAATTATAATAAAAAAAAAACAATGAGGGTTGTCCAATACTCTGACAAATTTATGCATAGCATTGTCTTCACTTTCCAATACTGTACAAAAGCATAATAATAGAGAACGAAGAAAAACAATGACAAACTTGACAAAGCCATGCATAAATTTGTTGGAGTATTTGACAAGTATGACAACAATAAACACAACAATCAAAAAAAATACAGAGGTTCATTGGTTACAATTATAAGGAATTGTTTAAGGTTTTCTACTACAATAATTTAAAAATTTCAATTTGCTTTAGTTGGCAACTTAGAGCAGTCGTTTAACTCTGCAGGTAGTCTGTTCCACAAACTTGTAGCACGTAACATAAATGAGGGCTTTTTTATTCTGGGTATCTTTAAATTTCATAAACTTTGACATCTCAAAGGATGCCACAGTGGCAATGACAACGAGAAAAGAAAAGTAACAGGTTGAAGAGGCAAAACAACAACTCTGCAGGAGCATCACGTTTTTTTTTTGTACATTTCTTTACCATCACTGCATGACTATATTAAAGTAATACCTTATTTTCTTGTTCATGGAGGACATAAACAAACAACAACAACATTTTTTCTCTCTTTCTGAACTTGGATATGGTTTCCCCATAAAATGATGTCTGAGGAATGAGTGCGGAAATTCCTTGCTGACTACGCATCACTACACACTTGCGTAGAACTTCTGATTGGTTGAATATTTGCTTCATCCAATCAAAAGCAGTACCCAGATCTGGGTAGTGAAATGCCAACAGTATGCGCTTGTTCCTCAAAAATCATTTTGCTGGAAACTGGTGGATGTGGTACAAAATGTTGGTTGTTTTCTCAGTCTATCCTGGATGTTGTATCTGACTAGCCTTGTGAATCAGAGCTTATGTTTAGCAAAAAATGTGTTTTATAAAAATAGGATCCAAATTCAGATAGCAGTTGCAAACATGCTGTTCATCCTGTCCACTTGACGACCAAAAGGCAAGTTGGGTAGTGTTGCAGAAGGCAGTGCTGTCTTGATTCGGCCCTGTCAGGGGGCGGGGGGGAGGGTCCCATGTCCCCTGTCTGAATTTTAAAACATCTTGTGTCGGTGTTATAAATGCTTGTCGCTTATTGTCGGCTTTGGCATCACTGTTGCAACTTGGCCGAGGGAGGTTGTCTCTTGTCGCGATTTCATTTTATGCGCTGTCGCTACTTTTTGGGCCATGTCACTTGTTGGAATTTACCCTGGCAGGGCCTCTGATTTACTTTCGTGTTGCACACTGGGTATTGTTCATTGTCCTTTCCATCTTTTGTATTATGTCAGTTGGTGATTGAACCCATCCACAAAACCAAGAAACTACCCATGAGTTTACCAAGAGATATGTTAATTATAGTCAGTGGACCAAACAAAACAGTTTGTAGACTGGTAAAGAAGAAACACATCATGGTACAAACGCTTTCACCACATACCTTTTAAACAGCTGCAAAGTGTCAGAAAAAGACTACATTATTTTGTACAAAAGAAGTTGCTAGATTGATTTTCATAAAGTGATTTAGAATTATTTTGTCTGATTCACACCACACATTATCAAATTCAGATTCCTTTACTCAATTATCGCATGTAAAATTCCACCCTACGCTGTGACAAGGGTGCTATAAGCATGACAATTGTTCCTTTTTTTGGAAAAAGTAAATTGCACCCAGATCTCTTGTTGACGAAGTCGAAGTTGAGATCTGGCCATGTAATTCAATTCCTTTTTTTGTTATTATGGCGTGTGCAATTCATTAATTCTTTGCAGTCTTTAGTTCTGTTTAAATAGATATTTTCACTAAAGAAGTAGTTTTCTGTCTCACTACAACTTGTAAAACCATTTTACCTTATCTTTAAAGACTTTTTAAAACTCTCTCTCGGGGCCAATAAAGACTTTTGAGGAGGGCAAATTGCCAAAAGAGATTCTCGCGTAGAAGTTTACGCGTACTGCTTTGAGGCTTTAGCGCGCGCTATGATAATAGACCTTGTCACGGTTTTCGACGCCATCTTGACGAGTAGGCAAACGCGTGAGAAATTACAGTGATTGTATGAGAATCTTATGTCGAATAATTTCCGTAAAACGGCTGTTTTGAAAAAAATATGATTTGTAAACTAAAGCTTTACTCCTAAGGATTCTCTTGAAAAAATTCGAGGGCGTTACATGCACTAGAAGACCTAGAACCACTTTTTAGAACTTTCTATACATTTGTCTGTAAGAAAGTGCCGGAAAAATTACAGACAAATATATGGAAAATCTAAAGAAAGCCTCTGGAGAAATTTAAGCACACGTACGCCCCCAAATTTTTTTGGACAATCCTTTGCTTTGTAGCTTTAGTTTACAATTGATATTTTGTTCAGAACAGCCGTTTTACGGAAATTATTCGACATTAGATTCTCATACAAACACTGTAATTTCTCACGCGTTTGCCTACTCGTCAAGATGGCGTCGAAAACCGTGACAAGGTCTATTAAATTTAAACTAACAGTCGCCTTGAATTTGATGTTCAAACGAACAAAAAGAACAAAAAAAAATGGTTAGTTGACACTTAAAATGTGCCTACAACCACGTTTTGCTGGAAAAAGACTTCACGGTTCCATCAAATTCGTTGTTTATGCATCAGTCAATTCCAGCTGCGCCCTTCACGCCGCGAAGACATGCACCAGTTTATGGTTTTAGTATTGATATAAATTTAAATCAATAGAGCGCTGTAAAGTTATATGTTATGAATAGGTTGTAAATATGAAAGGATGTTCTTCAAATAATATCAACAGAAATTTGATTCACCAACCAAAAAACGTTGATCCACCTCGATAGCTCCCGAGTTTCGCTATATGCAACTCTGGCTTGATAAGCAATGAAGAAATGCATGCATAGAATCGAGAACACGCCGTTACAACCCCCTGTCCTTGACTGATGCATTAACACATTGAAAACTGAGGATTTACTTCGAGCATACGCTCTTTCACTGCCGGTCACATTCCTGACAGTCAGTCACGTGTAAAAAATCGGATTTGACCAGATCTCGCCTTCGTCAATAAGGGATCTGGGGCCCGTTTCTCGAAAGTCCCGGTAACTTTACGGGCCCGAAATCAAATATTCAAATCGAAATATAAAGAATAAGAGCGCGGGTCCTGGCTAGCAAACTACTCCATTTTGTTTCATTAACTGACAGTTTTATCGTGTTAGATGCAAAACTATTGAAACCTCGATCTTTAATGTAAACAGAGACAGCTTACCGGGCCCGTTAATTATCGGGACTTTCGAGAAACGGGCCCCTGGCCCCGGTTGTTCAAACGTTGGATAGCGCTATCCATCGGATAAATCACTATCTAGCGGAAAAGTATTAGGGAAAACAACTGCGCTATCCAGTGGATAGATTTTTATCCTGTAGATAGCGCTATCCAACGTTTGAACAACCGCGGCCTGGGTACGAGATTATTTGTTGAATTAATTTCTATAATAATACTAAACATCACTTGGCGTGATCGTGAAAAAGCTTAATAGGTTCGAGAAAATACCAGAGTACAAGATATCATGCAAACTATCAGCATACTGAAATGGAATCGGGCTGGTCATATGTGGCGAGAATAACAGACAACCGTTGGACAACCCGCATTACGTTCTGGACGCCCCAGGGACACACAAGGAACCGAGAAAGACCAAGGACGAGATGGAGAGACGATTTAGAAAGTTTTGTAAAACACTGGCATTGTGTTGCGCAAAACGTGGTCCCAGTGGAGGTCAGTGGGGAAGGCCCACGACCAACAACGGACATTCAAAGGCTGAAACTAAACTGAACTGGTTTAATTTATCAACTTGCATCACATTCTTACATCATTAAGTACCATACAAAATTAGAGATTAATAATTTGGAATCTGTATTTACATGACTAGGGATCTAGGGTTTCAGGTTGCTAAATCTAATAATTTTTGAGACAAAACTAGTCATCATTAACAGATCCCGGTTAAAACCTTTGTCCAGAAAATGTAATGGTTCTTGTGCGCTTCAGTATGACTTAAGGAGCAACTTAAGAAGACTTGGCGTAAGTATACACTTCCGCCTCACTTTGTCCAAAACTTAAAGAAATCTGTTCTAAACAAGAGTGAGTAACTAAAGATAAAAAATCTCTTTATAAAAAAGACGTCTGTTTAATATGTTAAAAAACACAAAATTGATCAACATCACATGGCTGTAAATTTTTGTACAAAATGTACGTAACACAGTCAAGTAAAAACCTTCCAAGACGTTTTTTTTTTCCAAAATATTTTGGTCAGTTTTATAACTAACACATTAATTTGGAAATTGTTACAGCATGTCTATAAATATTGAATGGATGCATAGTATGACGTAACTATACATTATTTTTACATACTTTGCCGGCACTGCGTTGGCCTAAAAAAGATTAATAATATTAATATTATACCTCCACTAGATGTTTTTTAAGCTGTCTCAATGCAGCCATCAGTACATTTTCAATCTGAATCTTATATTCCACCTTTAAAATGGATTAGCCTCAGACGATCCCTTCTCTATGCTTCCAGCAGAGTAAAGATTAGGGAGGCTAGGTCAATCAGAGGTTGACACTGTGTAAATCAACAACATATCTAATTAGATAGAACTGTAAGTAATCCTGGGACTCTCAAAACTACATGTAAGGTTTCTAGTATCTTACTGCTAGTACAAAAAAGTTTTATGGGACACCTTTTTCATTTATCAAGGATAAAGATCAAAAACCATTATGTTAAACAATTATGTTCCATTATTTTTCTGTCTTTTTTATTTCTGGTCCTTAGAGGAGCGGCCAAAAAAGTGTTCACAAAGGTCCGACACACTTAGTCTTCCCCTAGTAGGAATACTTGTCGATCATGGCATGATTACAAATCAGGCTCATGATTGCTGGGGCGGATCCAGGGGGGTGGTTGGGGTGGTTCGTTTAAACCCACTTAACTGAAATGAAAACGTTCAAACATTAGCGTTTTTTGACAAAAAGCTTCGGTTTCTGAGGAACTAAATTTCAAAATTTTAAGGGTGAGCATTTCCCCGGGAACATCCTAGGATGGTACGCCTTTGTCAGACATTTTATTATGCGAGCCCCCCTCCACTAAATCCTCGATCCGCCCCAAGATTGTCCATGTTCTGTTGCTTGATTGCTAACCCGCAGACCCTTACTTTGTTACAGTGTGGGATTATTGACTCTTGCATTACTAAGTAACCCTGTACTGAATCCACAAAATGCCTTGTCTCCCAACACTTCTATACCTTTTACAACACATTCTTCAACACACACTTTCATCATTAGCTAGATCCTCTTCAGGTTCAGCTTTCTCTTCCGATGGTTTTTCACCCTCTACATAATTGTCTGTCGGTGGGCGTTGTTCTCCAATAGACTCCTCTGCAGGTGTTTTTCCTTGTGCAAGGGCCAAAGCTTTCTGCAATCTCTCTTTGTAAACTCGGTACTTTTCTTCTACCTAATTGTGGGACACACACAGACACAAAAAAATAATAGTAATAATAATAATAATAATAATAATAATAATAATAATAATAACAATAATAATAATAATAGTTAATTTGAAAAATACTAAGATTCAACAGTCTGAGAATTATGTTGTAAAACGGACACTGTGGAAATAGAGCACATGTCTGCAGAATTTGAAAGTTCCATGATAGTAATCATAGACAAAACAATAAAAGATATATTTAAGCAATATACCACACTTTCTATGGGTCTACCGGCGTGATAACCCACTTACAATGTTGAGAGGACATGAGAAAAGCTTGTAAATCACTCGCCTGTGGCTTGCGAATGCGCTCACTATCTTAGTTATTTTATAAAACATACTAGACTTGCACGAATCAAACTAAACCTCTTCAATGTAACAAGTACTAACTTTTTTATAACAGTACTTGAATTTGGTTTTTGCTAATTCAGAATTAAGTAAAACCGTTGCCAACTCTGGCATGCAAAGTCTTCGAGTTAAAAAGATTATTTGTTGTTGGTTGTTCAATTGACCACTTGTCTTGCTTTACGCTGAATGCTTGACACACCTGTGTAATGTGTTCCTCTTCTTCTTTATCCAGTATTTTCATGAAATTCTGGAGCTCAGGTATTGAGAAACCGTCCCACTAAAAAGTGAAACATTGCCATTTACACACTGGACTGATTGTTAACTAAATAGATCGTAAAAGCTGTCATATGAAGTACAGGTTTTTCTTAGAGAAGTGGTCATTCATACCCAGGAGGAGAAGGGGTGACAAACACGTATTATCCACCCCTCCCCCGCCAAAAAAAAACTTTACAGAAAGAAACCACACAGATCATACTTGTGAGACCAAAGCTCCAGTACGCCTGTAGTGCCTGGGATCTGCAAGCCGCTCTAGAAAGGGTACAGGCTATGTGTATGGTGTACAGTGTAGACTATACTGATTTCAGACACAACCATTCAGTTTTACTGCTACTAGAAAAGTACAGGTCGCATTAAACTATTTAAGTGGTTTCATTGTGATGCCTTTCACATTAAAGGAGTGTCAGTAGTAAACCGCAAAGCAAAAATTAAGAAATAAACGGACTGAAAACATCCATTATCCATCTTTTGTGCGTAACAATTATAGTTATCTAGTGTTAACTATCAGTGCACCGATCACCTAAATTACTAATCTAGCCATTTTTTCCCCAACATTTGAAAAGAACAATAAAAGGACTTCTGCCTCCTCCCTTCTTTCAGCGAGTACTGTACAGTTCAAGGTCATTATTCGCGCGTTTTTGATTTCTTATCGGGCGTCCAAAACAGAAAGCGCCTATGTCATGTTTATCAAAAAATCTTTTTCTGCAGCGCGTTGCTTGGCATTAAATAGAACTGAGAGATTGCTCTAAGATGAACACTATGTGAATTCTGCCTTCCTTCTTCAATAGTCGTCAGCAGCCTCCTTTTAGTTGGTAAACGCAGCGTGTTTCAGTTTCTTAATTACAAGTCCAAGGACGCCATCTTGTCAAGTGCACTACAACACCAGTGCACCAGTGCACCAGTGCACTGGTGTTTATTCGTACGTAAACGTTTTCTCCGCATCACTAAGTATAGTAAACGCATGTTAAGAGTTTGCTTTCAAACAATCATTATTTAAAATTGTTCTTTAAATCAGAGCAACCCTGAAACTAAGTCATTGCACGAATAGCGTGAGAAAAAGGTACGAATAAAAATAAGAATTAGGTAAATTAAGGCTTTGCTACATGGCAGTGCACCGGTGCACTGTCGGCATGTATATAAAGGGCCTGCTCAAGATAGCTTGTAAACATCGATACTGACATGGGAAAAACTGGAGCTGAGCGATTGCGTGAATCACGCGAGAGAAAGAAACAAAAGAAACGAGAATATAATGCAAGGTTTTACGTGAAGAACAAAGATAAAATACTTAAAGATAGAAAAGAGGAACAAAGAAAGAAGCGGCCTCGCATTGTTGTAGAACAAGAACGTGAAAGTAAAGCACCCAAACCGAACTAGCGGCTTTATAAAGCAAAACAGAGAGCGAGAAAGAAGGCAGAAAAAGAAGAAACATCTACAAATGTTCCTGTTCCACCTATTGCTGTCCGAGGAACATTTCCTAACAGAACCTCTCGAAAACGAGCTGTCGATACTACGAGAGCATATCTTCCAAGTAGTCAAAGGAAAAAAGTTGCTGTCATTGCTTCTCTTGTGGAAAGTCCCAAAACACAGCATTCTCTCCAGCGACTGGGATATCTGAACTCCCCAGAAAACCAAGAGGACGAAAGAATGGCATCTGCAATTTTAGAGGATGCTAAAACAGCACTTCAGGCAACAAAAAGAAAAAGATCAAACGATGCCTGTGCTGCCACGCACGTCAGTCTTTCATTTCTTTCAGCAAAAAGGGGCCTTGCTTTGTCACCGGAAATTATGATCGGAAAGCGAGTGTGATGTGGATGCTGCAAGATTTGAAGTGGGACACACTAGAAACAAATAGCAGATACGCAAGGCTGTCCGTTATGTGTAAGATGTGCTATGGTTCCCTAGATAAAAAATGGGAGGACTATTTGATTCCAAATAGAGAAAGGAGAACACAAGGAAGCCATGATTGTAAATTAATCATACCGAAAGGACACAAGAATGTTTTTAGACTTTCTTTCTTTCCCAGGACAATAACTGAATGGAACAAATTCCGGAAAGAAACAGTTACCAGTCAAGCTCTCTCTGTTTCTAAAAGTAAACTCTTTTAGGTTATCTTTTACTAGCAGATTATAATTTATTAGCTTTTATTATTATCTTGTATATTTTTAGTGTTTGAGAGTTGGTGTGATGTCCCTCGTAGATGTTGCTAACAAAACCATATTTAGATTTAAATTTAGATAAAACGGGGAAAAATTCCCTGAACCAAAATTCATATCCGAATATGAGAATAATAATAATAGTCATAATAAACTGCAATAATTTTAAAAATATGTATGTCTGGTAATACTGTACACCAGTTTCTCAGTTTCTTAGCTTGAGGTACTAGTATTGTCTACTACGAATCTTCCCCGGTTTTTGAATACTTCTCCAAACCCCTTGGTATCATCAAAGTACCAAAGGCCAATTTTCATTCTCCCTCACATTCGTGAGAGGTTTCTCAAAGTAATTAAAGCCAGTTTTCCCCTCTTTTTGGACAAATAACACATTCTAAATTTCAGTTTGATGCGGAATATGGTTACTGTAGCCTTCTTGGGATTTGAAATTTGTAGGTCACTAAAATTATGTACTATTATATTTAAATGTAATGAAACTATTTATTAATTTGATTTGTTTCAGTTATTAGAATATTATTGAATATTTGGTGCATAGATGAAGCTTGCAATGCTAGGCAACTGAACAAAGTGAAAGAGGGGGCAATTCAAATGAAACACTGTCTTATTCTAATGATTTTGTCTTAACAACTCAATATCAACAGTCCCAGTGGGGTAAAGAGGAAGAAAATAGCGGCAGGTGTAAGCATAACTGATAAGAAAAAGACTAGGCAAGAGTAATAATATTATTACTGAGGATTCCAAAAGATTCAGTTAAAAGATTTATCACTTACAATGATATCTCCAGTTTCATTTTCCTGAAGTGAAAAGGTATGCCTGAGATCAGCTCCACCCCAGAGTAATCTAAGCACCAGTGGCTTTTCTAAGTCAGACATCCGGCGAAGGATCACTGCAAAGCACAAAATTACAATGTGATATTTGGGGTTAGGTTTAGGCGCGTGGGGACTTCTAAAAGTGACTAAAGGAAAAAAATCTCCAAAAGATCAAATTTCTTCTATAAAATCCCACAATAATTTGGAGTTTTTAGGGTGACCATATATCTTGCCATAGCATGGTCCAGGAATGACAGGAAAGGGTTAATATTAATATTGTTATCATGGAAAAAGCAATAATATTGACATTGTCTTTAGCAACACTTACTACATACAGGTATTACTGTACTACTGTACATTTAAAACTTGCTATAAATTATGCAACAGAGCCTTTAGCACTGATCAGCAAGCTTAAAAGAACTAACCAATGGAAACAACAAAAATATTGAAAATGAAGTTACATTCATGTATATTACTAATTAATGAAACTCATAAATTTATGTCTTTAAATAAGTTAAACACTTCTGACAAAAGAAGTACACAATTTCATACTGAATTAATAGCAGTGTGCATTTTCTTTGAGTACACAACATAATTTTTTACATTCTAATGTATGCAGGAGATTACACATAAAATAAATTAGTATTTCTTGCTTGCATGCTTATCAAAAATTATCAACACGGGGAAAATATCTTACTATGATTATCTTCTTCTTGGTAACACTCAAACAATGCAAATTTTCTTGGATTGTCAGCCACCTTAAATTTCTTCAAGAGAGCCACAATCACCTTCAACGAGAAAACAAAAGCTTAAGGATACTATGTAAATCAAAGCCACAACTCACAACTCTCCTCCCAGTTATAGGCTTCCCCAAAAAATACATCACAATTATACTATTATTCATTCAAAATATTTCTCGGTATCTGATTGGCTAAAACCAGGGGCGTATCCAGGATTTTTTTTAGGAGGGGGTGCACTCGTCTCTTGCTCTACTTCAACACCAATAAACCACATAGTTTTTTTTTTGCAGAATACCAGATGTATTAGAAACCCGCAGGTCATCTCGGGGAAGGGGGGGGTGGGCACCCCCTGCACCCTCCCCCTAGATCTGCCCCTGAAAATGGCATGCATAATTCATCATTACCAACTACTGCTGACCAAATTTGGAAGAATTTTGTAATAAAAATGTGACTGATGACATCAATCATGCAGCAAAATTGCAAGATTATTGAACTGTTAACCGAGAAGACCTGGGGGCAAGGTTGAGTTGTTTCGGTGGTGTTACAAAAATGGTGGAACATTTCACTTGTTTCACAAGGAAGAAATAGGCAAACTATTGGCTAAATACACAGCAAGAACAGCAAGAAGACAACTCAACGGATTACATCTGCTTAATTTGGAGAACATTTGCAGAACTGCACAACCCTTTATCTCCTAAACTTGCCGATAAAAATGCACTATCGAAGATGAACTTACATGTAACATCAATAGAGGTAAGCATGTTTTAGATTGTTTTTAAACTAGGAAATATTTTGAATGAATAACAAAACTCTTACAGTTATTGAATTCGGTTTTCATATTATCTGAAAAAAGCTCAATGATGATTTTTTACTCATTTATGTAGCCAACTATTACAATTTCGGCACGCAAATGACCTAACGGCAATCCCCTTTTTCTTGCCGACAAATAAAACTTTTAAAGGCATTTGTTTAGCTCTTGTGGAGACAATTCTTCAAAAAGAGTTGTGAATTCCTTCTGCTGTTGAAACCATTCTGTAAAAAACCCAGTTTTAAGCTAATATTTATTGAACATGTCAGCTAAATAAAGTAATGTAAGACTTAACCTTTTTCACGGTTTCATAGATAAATTTTGTTGAAACGAACAAAGCTTTACCTGCATTAAAAACTTCCAAACCGAATTTCATAGCCTTGTTCATGTTTTTGGGGAACCGTTTCTTTGATTATTTTGTGACCTTTCTCCGTTTGTTATGGCAGAAAACTGGGAAGCCATTTTGCTTGTAACCTATGTGAGTTTGACTTTCGCTCGGAGGTGAATATAGCACTACTGGATATCCCAAGTTTGAGCAGCCAATCAGAGCATTCGAAAAACGCTGTCTACTTTTAGTATTTACTCCTGTTAAATCCAATAATAATTAAGCCCCCTCAAGCTAGTTCTAATTGCAGCATATTGGAACGAATGATTTATTACCCATATGACGTTTTGATGCTTCGTTAAGAAAAAAACGCTCAACAGTATCTGCAAAACGTATTTTGATCGATCAGCACTGCTAGCTTGTTTTGAAACAATTTTTCTATTTCAGTGTTAAGCCCCCTCAGATGTGCGCCTCTCCATTTATAAGCCCCCCTAAAACCCAATATATTTAAGTGGCAGTTTATAGTAGCCCAGATTGGTAGAGCTCACCCTGAGGTTTTGTTTCTTTCATTTTAACACCTACAAGGCTGTTGCCAAGAGTTCAAGTTGCTGGGTATTATTTGTGGTGGAGAATTGAACTGCTAGTAATTTTTTTGGGTTTTACACTGTATTTTCCTTTTATTTCATATTAAAGTAGCCAAGGACCATGTTCATGAAAGGTGGCCGGGGAAAATCAGGCCCCAGCTCTTAGTGACAGCCCTGCACCTACAGCACTTTTTTGCATCATTTAAATTATGCACATTTTGAATGGTCCACAATATTATCATAATTTTAATTAATTCTTTTGAAACAAATTAAAGTTAACCGTTTTCAGATGTCTTTACAAAGGCAGCACTTTCTTCTCAGTTATTTAAAAACCCCAAGAATTGTTGGCAGACCGGCCCTTATCTGGGCAACTTTATAGTGTATAAACTCAACTCTGAAGCAATGTTTCAATGGAATTACCTCATGAACTGTAGTTTCACTTGTCACATGTAGTGCTTTCACTGTTCCAAGCGGAAGGAAAAATGAGGTCCGCTGAGTTTTCTAAAAGACAAAAATACTAAATAATAACAATCAACATATTTCTATCAATAATAAATGGGTACACCAGTACTTTTGCAGGTTAAGACTGTGTAAATTGCCCTGTTAATTGCAAGGAACAAAGCGAAGTCAAATAAACTACACGTAGTAAACATATGACTATGCACTGACCTTTTGGTCATCTTCATTCTGTCCTCCGACTGTCTCGAATATTGACAGTGGTCTCGCCCCTGCGATGATGTTGATTGGGCGTATTAGGTTCATGTGCACGCGTATAAAGCCTTGGTATGCATCTATACCCCTCTAGTAAAATGTAAATTCATTGTAACAGTGAATACATTAAGCTGCCAATATTATGTCAATAGGGGTTGTAATATCCATGATGTAAACAGGGTTCATACTCTTTTGAGCCCTACAGATTCAATGACTTTCCATGGCCTTTTCTAGTTTTCCGTGACATTAGGTTGAACTGTCACTTTCAAAAATTTTCAAAACTCTCCTCCTCTGTTGTTTGTCAAAATGTACAGTGCTCACACTGCTTATTTCTTGTCTCTATCTAATTCTTACATCGTCCATGCTTTGACATCTTCAGTAACTAATCTATACCAAACATAACTATAATTTTCCATGAGAAATGATGTGAACAACATTTCACAAGCATGGGAGAAAGAAAACGTCTGAGTCCCCGACAGGAATTGAACCTATGACCTTCTGCACACTGGTCACATGCTCTACCCACTGAGCTTTGAAGGATTTGTGGCAAGTTGGGTTACATACAAGGTGTGCTTGATCAATGTATAAAATGTGTCCTGTGTACTGCTAGGATCAGCATTGGAAAAATCATCATGTGTATGATAAATAAAGGATGATCATGGTAAATTCAAAGCTCGGTGAAGAAATGAGAAATAATGTGATCAACATGTCATGAGTATGGAACAAAGGAAAAAATTCTGAGTCCATTAAATCCTAGGACCAATTATTATTATTATAATAATTTCAATCCAGACCTGAAAAGTGAAATTCTTAATGTTTCATGACTTTCTAGGCAGGTTTTCCAAATAAATTTAACCTGTACAAACCCTGTTTATAACATAGCGTGCGTGCTTGCCCTATACAACTCCTATTGAGCCGCTATGAACAAAATCTTTATTTACCCACGCCCGTGCGTAAATATGATGACGTGACCATTTATTTTTACCTGGCTGCAAAGTTGTCGTCTTTTAAGCTGCAGTGCACTTTTCCTTCTCTTTAAAATATGGAAGAAACCAGCGAAAAACTGCCCAATTTTTCTATCAGCATTGACCTTTTAGGTCCTGATCCAACAAGAAGCAAAAATAAAAATGAAGCCGAATTAAAAAAAGACTTGCAAGTTGCGCTTTTCGCAAATTCCTTGAAGACCAGCTGCAGCAAATTTTGGCTGAAAGACATTCACTGGGAACAGAACAGACACCAACTGGTCATCAGCAACATTTAAAGGCAAAATTTGTGTGCACTTTGTTATCTCTGGACAATCCAACTGAAGCAGGAAAATTTCTCTCGCAACAACAACACAAATTACACAAGAAGACATAAATTTATTACTCACAAAAACAACTGCTGCTAGGTCTTCTCAAGATGCCGTAATGACCAGCCAATGTTCGTAAATGAATATAAGTTTAAACAAGGATGACAGTCGTCTTCGCTAAAAACATGTTTTCTGGATTTCGCCGAGCAAAACGTAAACATCTTTTTAGCAAATCCAAACCATACTCCACGACTTCTCACAAACATGTCACGGAGGATTTTAACTTTAGATGAACTTTAAGACTCTTTTACCTTTTACCTTCGTTAT